GAGCCATACGATAGGGAGTTGCTGATATCGGTCCCGTTCCAGGAACAAGATCGATGGAAAATTCTACTTCTCTGGAAGATGGTATACCAGGAAGTTCATCAGGAAATACATCAGGAAAGTTACACACCATTGGTATGTCCTTCAATCCAGGAGTTTCTTTTGATGTGTCTCGTACATTACATAAATAGGCTTCACATTTCTTGCGGATGAGGCGCCTAGCATGTATATACGAGATGAATTCAGTAGGTTTGGGTGTCAGCTTTTCTTTCACTTCAATGGTCTTTCCATCATTGTTTTTCAGTTGTATCACCCGTTGTCGGCAATCGATAACAGCTTGATGTTCAGTAAGCCAATCCATACCAAGGATGACATCGAATTCCTTGTACGGTAATTCAACAAGATTTGCAAGGAGTTGTTGTCCTTCGACAATCAGCGGACAATCTTGGTATACATGATGTAACCTCATACTATGTCCTAGTGGGTTAGATACTAGTATAGGGTGTTCTAAGTTTTCTTTCAATATGTCCGCTTTGTCAGGCATAGGTACACAGATGTAAGATAATGTCGATCCAGGATCTATCAACACATGCATGGTTGTATCGAATAATGAGAACATACCCTGGATGACATCAGGGTTCTCTTCAGTACGTCCTTTCATTGCATAGGTGCGGACAGGCGCTCGTCCTTGCTGTTGATTTTGATTTTTAGCAGGATTAGATCCTGCTGTAGAGCGTTGACTTGGAGCGGGACGTGCCGATGCTGCGTGACTGGCGACAGGAGCAGGTGGAAATGGCTCTCCAGGATTTGTGGGACAGTTCTTTCGGAAATGCCCCGGCTTTCCACAACCGAGACATAGTCCTTGAGCAAGCCAACATTCCCCAGGATGGTGTCTCCCACACATTTTACATGCTGGGTTTTTCCATCCCTTTGACCTGTTGCCAGATGCCACTGATTGGGTTTGTACAGATTTCCCCTTCTTGGAGAAGTGTGAGCTGCTGGGTCCTTGAAATGGTCTTTTCCCACTCGAGACAGAATTTGTAGGTCGACGTTCACTTGTGCTAGCACCTTCTTTCTTCAAGTACTCCTTACAAGCATTCAGATCCTTGTCTGCTTTAGCAATCAGATCATAGGCTTCCGTGAAGTCTACCGTTGGTATGACAGATACTTGAGCCCTGAGATCAGGTCGGAGTTTTGATCTGAACTCCTCAATACGGTCAGTTGTGGTGCTTACCAACGTTGGTGCAAATTTGGCAAGACTGACAAACTTTTGGCGATATTCGGGAAGGGTCATCTCCCCTTGTTGCAACTCAACAAATTCGGTACGTTTCGCTTCACGGAAACGTGCTGGGATATACTCTTTCTTGAAAGCCCAATCGAAGAACTCCCACGTCCATGGCTTCGGGGTTTCGTTACTTTCAACGGTGCGTTTCCACCATTCGTAGGCTTCCCCACGAAGTAATTGTGATGCGAGTCTCGGGTGGTCGTTAAGCGGTACGTTCAGATCTCTCAACACTCGGGCAGTCTGTTCAATCCAATTCCAAGCAATTTGAGGTTCGGCGATTCGATCGCCCAGAAACTCTTCTGCTCCATTATCTTTCAGAAATTTGAAAGTGATTACACGCGGTGGCGGCGG